GGGTTGGGGGATTCATGTGATCGGGAGGCGGGGCGGGAGCACGTGGTTCCTCCTCGGAAGTGGCGGCGGCCTAGGGCAGCAGCGTGGGGGTGGCATGGGCGCCCCCGGGGGGAAAATCAACCGGCCTCGCACGGTGACAGAGTCTTGGGGGCTCCCCCTCGTCCCCTTCCCATGGTGCCCTTCACTCCCTGGGTGGGGGGGCTTCTCTTGGGAGGGGCCTTATCCCTCAGGGGCTCCCATGATCCTCCCCGCAGGCTCCCCTTTCTGTTTTGCCCTTGGGGGGCCCCGGCTCTTCTGAGACCCTCCTCCGTCCTGGGACCCAGCCCCACAATACGGCAGGGAGCGAGGGGGGCGGTGTCGGACCCCCCACGCCTCCCCTCTGCTGCAGGACCCTCCCCCATGCCTGCAGCTCCCCCAAGGGGACACCCTGCTCCCAGCCCATCACCCCCCTCCCCTGGGCTGCAGGGACCCGGCGCTCAGCTGCGGGGGGTGAATGGAAAGGTTTTTCTTCTCCCCGCAGGACCTGAAGAAGAAGCTCTTCAAGAGGCGCCGGGTGCTGAGCCGCGAGAAGAGGAAGCGGCGCCGGATTGTGGGGGCAGTGGTGGACGAGGGGCTGATCACCGTGCACCACCTCAAGAAGCGATCGTGAGTCTCCCCGAGAGCCCTGGCTGTGGCCCCGGCGGGGGAGGCGTCAGGCTGTCCTTGGCCTAGCAGCCCCCCGGGACCTTCTCCTTGCGGCTCCTGAGTTGTCTTCCCTGGAGCTGGAGGGGCAGGCTGGTTTGGGTCTAGGAGGAGGAGGAGGCTGGGAGTCGGGACGCCTGGGTTCCTGGGCGGGGGCGGGCTAGAGTGTGGGATGCGGTCTGGAGGGTCAGGCTGCCTGGCTCTTGCACCAGCTCTGGGAGGAGAATACAGTGCTCCGCCCCGAGGTGCAGCGCCTCCTTCCGCGGTGCTGGTGCCTGGGAGGCAGTGAGCGCCGTGGGGAGTGACACGGCTCTGGGTCTCGCACCCCGCCGGCAGGTCCAGCTCCCGCGCCAACATCACTCTGTCGGGGAAGAAGCGCAACAAGCTCCTGAAGCAGCTTCGTCACACCGCCAAGGAGAAGGCCACCATGCAAGGTATTTCCATCCCAGCTGCTGCCTGGGGAGGGGCGTGGGGGCAGGCCCTGAATCAAGGCCTCCAGCTCGCCATAGCTGCTGGCTTCAAACAGGAGCCCAGAGGGAAGCCTTCCCGTGGTCTGTCGGCTTCTCTGGAGTCTCCAATGGGAGCTGCCGATTCAGTTGGAAGCAACACAGTATGCTTGGAGGGGTCCCCATTGTGGCGCTGGGGGGAGGGGAAGCACTGCCCTGCCCTGCCCTGCCCTGCCCAGGAGCTCCCCACCCCGGTGGCTGGGCACCTGTTGGAGGCCCAGGGATGGAAAGCTGCCTGTGGGCATGGGGTCCAGCCCCCACCTGCTCCTTCTGGTCGGGCTGGGCCCTGAGTTCAGTTCCTGTTCTTCCTTGAGGGACATCTCTGGAGTTTTCTTGTCTCTGGGCTCACCTGCCTGAGGGAGAGGCCACCCCTTCCTTCCTCCCACCCTGCAGGTGGGGGCCGTCAGTGCGTGCATTGCCTGGCCGGATGGGGAGGGAGGGAGAAGGGTGTATCTGGGTTAGGGTCCTGCTGTGGGGCACAAGCTCCACATACTCCCCTCAAGCATCTGCTGATTTTTCCTTCTCTGCACCAGTTGATGCTGCTGCAAAGCCGGAGGGAACGACGGCGCGATCCGGGAGGAGACGGAAGCCGCCAGGCTCCCAGGATGTGGAGATGAAGGATGCGGGGGCCGAGCTGGACGCGGAGAACTGAACCCTCTGGGAGGCTGGAGGCAGCTCTGCCAGCTGTGGCGGGGCCTGTGCCCGGGGACTTGGTGGCCCAGTTTCGCTGCCGGCAGGTGGGAGCCGCCATCCTGCTCCCTGGCTCTGACTGGGTTGATTCTCTCCTGGACTCTTTGGAGCAAGTGGGTGCTTCTCGGCTATTTCCTGCTGGAGTCGCTTTCCCAGCACTGGAGGAAGCGGCTGGCGGGCTTTGCCGTGAGGCGGACGAGGCTGCTGTGAAATAAATGAAGCCAAGAGCTCCATGTGACAGCGATGTTGTTGGTTGTCTGCGCTGGAGGGGGTCTTCCTTGGGGCTCAGTAGTATGTTCTTCCTCAGCGACGCAGGCAGAGGGGGTTCTGCTGGGGGTTGGAAGTACCCCCGTGTCTGGGGGAGCCAGCTCGGCTGCTTTGGTCCTGGGTGACGCCAGTGCCACTGCTGTGTGTCTGCTTCTGGGGCCTAATCGCAAGTACTGGCCTAGACCACCTCCGCCGCGCTACGTGGCCCTCGGTAGGGGCCGAGGGGCTGCACCAGGGTGCGGAGGGGGCGCT